CTGTATGACACATACTACCATCAACACTGTATGACATACACCACCATCAACACTGTATGACATACACCACCATTAACACTGTATGACACATACTACCATCAACACTATGACATACACCACCATCAACACTGTATGACATACACCACCATTAACACTGTATGACACACACTACCATCAACACTGTATGACATGTGGAAAAAGACACTTATGTACAGTTCAGGACATTTATTAAAGGAAACGTTTCACTATGAGAGGCTTCTTCAGTCCTAATACAGAGAAAACTAAGAAAATGCATATATATAGTGGCAGGTGAAGTGACTTGTGAGTAGAGGTGGTAGTGGTAGTAGTAATAGTAGTAGTAGTAGTGGAGCTAAGGAGGTGAGATGGATGGCTAGAGAGGGACCTGCTGACATCATGTAACAGCAGTTTCCAGAATTTGTAATATCCTGGAAACTGCTGTTACATGATGTCAGCAGGTCCTTCTCTAGCCATCCGTCTCACCTCCTTAGTTCCACTACTACTACTACTACTACTACTACCACCTCTACCCACACATCACTTCACCTGACTCCTGCCACTATATATACGCATTTTCTTAGTTTTCTCTGTATTAAGACTGAAGAAGCCACTTGTGGCAAAACGTTTCCTTTAATAAATGTCCTGAACTGTACATAAGTGTCTTTTTCCCTTTTTCCACATCTTGTCGGTATCACCATACCTTTTCCTCACTGTATGACATACACTACCATTAACACTGTATGACATACACTACCATTAACACTGTATGACATACACCACCATTATCACTGTATGACATACACTACCATTAACACTGTATGACATACACCACAATTAACACTGTATGACACACACTACCATCAACACTGTATGACATGCACCACGATTAACACTGCATGACATACACTACTATCATTCAGGTCTAGCAAGCACTCAGCTCAGCCCCTAATAAAACTTCTACCCCCAGCAAATGTTCAGTTCCCAGCAAACACAGCCACCAGCAAGCACTCATTCCCTTTGTAAATACTGAAATTCCCTAGCATTTAGCCTCAGCAAATACTCAAAACCCAACAATCAATCAACTCCCAGCAAGTGCTCAGGCCCCAGCAAACAGGTTAAGTTTACTTGAAGGTTACCATGAGACTATTCTATGGGTCACTGCCTCCATGGTCTGGTCCCAGAGCAAGCCACCTAGTTGATGATCTGATCCCAGAGCAAAACCACCTAGCTGATGGTCTGGTCCCAGAGCAAGCCACCTAGCTGATGGTCTGGTCCCAGAGCATGCCACCTAGCTGATGGTCTGGTCCCAGAGCAAGCCACCTAGCTGATGATCTGATCCCAGAGCAAGCCACCTACCTAGCTGATGGTCTGGTCCCAGAGCAAGCCACCTAGCTGATGGTCTGGTCCCAGAGCAAGCCACCTAGATGATGGTCTGATCCCAGAGCAAGCCACCTAGCTGATGGTCTGGTCTCAGAGCAAGCCACCTAGATGATGGTCTGGTCCCAGAGCAAGCCACCTAGATGATGGTCTGATCCCTGAGCAAGCCATCTAGATGATGGTCTGGTCCCAGAGCAAGCCACCTAGATGATGGTCTTGTCCCAGAGAAAGCCACCTAGCTGATGGTCTGGTCCCAGAGCAAGCCACCTAGATGATGGTCTTGTCCCAGAGCAAGCCACCTAGATGATGGTCTGGTCCCAGAGCAAGCCACCTAGCTAATGGTTTGGTCCCAGAGCAAGCCACCTAGATGATGGTCTGGTCCCAGAGCAAGCCACCTAGATGATGGTCTGGCCCTAGAGCAAGCCACCTAGACAATGGTCTGGTCTCAGAGCAAGCCATCTAGATGATGGTCTGGTCCCAGAGCAAGCCACCTAGCTGATGGCCTGGCCCAGAGCAAGCCACCTAGATGATGGCTGGTCCCAGAGCAAGCCACCTAGCTGATGGCCTGGTCCCAGAGCAAGCCATCTAGATGATGGCTGGTCCCAGAGCAAGCCACCTAGCTGATGGCCTGGCCCCAGAGCAAGCCACCTAGATGATGGCTGGTCCCAGAGCAAGCCACCTAGCTCATGGCCTGGTCCCAGAGCAAGCCATCTAGATGATGGCTGGTCCCAGAGCAAGCCATCTAGATGATGGCTGGTCCCAGAGCAAGCCACCTAGCTGATGGCCTGGTCCCAGAGCAAGCCACCTAGCTAATGGTCTGGTCCCAGAGCAAGCCACCTAGCTAATGGTCTGGTCCCAGAGCAATCCACCTAGCTAATGGGCTGGTCCCAGAGCAATTCATCTAGCTAATGGGCTGGTCCCAGAGCAATCCACCTAGCTAATGGGCTGGTCCCAGAGCAAGCCACCTAGATGATGGCTGATCCCAGAGCAAGCCACCTAGCTAATGGTCTGGTCCCAGAGCAAGCCACCTAGCTGATGACCTGGCCCCAGAGCAAGCCACCTAGCTGATGGCCTGGCCCCAGAGCAAGCCACCTAGATGATGGCTGGTCCCAGAGCAATCCATTTTGGTGATGGCCTGATCAACCAGGCCATTTGGTGCTAGCCACACAGGCTAACATAGACGCCCAGTCCTGCTAACCAAGAACCAACTCGAGTAACTTATTGTTCTCTCTAGACAGTAGCAAGAAGGCTCTCTGCAATTCCGCTTCTGCATGAAACCTTTTTTCCCTTTGCACTTACTAAGCTATCTCATAGTGTACTCACTACATCCCTGTCCTTCATTGAAGGTATTTTACACTCTTTGCTGAGCCTCATGCTTTCACAGGAAGTGATTTCGTTGTCCAAATTTAGGACCAATGCCTCCAAAATTTTTGAGGCATTAATTATATCATCATCGTCACCTATATTCCAAGGTGGACAGTTCAATAATTTATGTGCATGGCTGTGTTTATATGGACAGAAAAGGGTCTTTCTACATTTATCAGATCTGCAATTTCACTTGCCTTTTAATTAAGAGAGACTGTTAGTGTACAGAAATATTTCAGTTTAGAAAAAAGAAGTGACTTAAAAAGTACAATATCATTATTGGTTTTGCATCTTTCATTCTGAAGGCTTTAGGTATCAAGTTTATCCTTTTATTTGCAGTTGTGATAATAATACTGTTGCAATCCTAAATGAATTTGTTTCATACTCAGTTCCAGTTATATTTCCTTAATTTTTCCATAGCACAGTAACAGAGATTTATCATCATTTGCTTTCTGTGACCTCCTGGAAGACCTGGTTTGTCTCAGCTTGGAAGTTTGCTGTGTTCTCGATGGATGCCACTTTCACAAAAAGTCTAGTATCGGCTGCAACGTATGGCACTGTGCTATGATTTACAGTGTGTCTTTGTCTGTTGTATATGAAAATGATAATGTGAATTAGAGAGAGAGAACACTGTGCCTTGAGGAACAGAGCTTTTCACTGCAGTAGCCTCTCATTTTATTTTGTTCTCTGTTACTCTTTAGGTTCTGTATGCTGGAGTGTTCAATGTCCATCTGTTCCTTTCCAGTTATTCTATTTTTGTATGCATTTTGTGTGCTATTATACCATGATTATGTTTGCTTAAGGTATTCATAAAGTCTGTAAAAACTATAGTTTACCTGAAGGACACTTGAAAAACAATTCCAAGGGTTAATGCCATTATGGCCTGGTCCCAGACCAGGCTTCCTAAAGGACCAAGACCAGATCAACCAAGCTGTTACTGATGGCTGCATGTAGTCCAACACAACCACAGCAGGGTTGGTCAGTTCTCTCTTGAAGACCACCAGAGGATTTTCAGTGATTTTCCACATGCACAGAGGGATGGTGTTGAAGAGTCAGGGACCTCTGACACTCACTGAGTTATCTTTTGGTGCACCCATTGTGTCTCTGCTCTTAAGTGGAGGTATTTCGCACTATCTGCCATGTTTCCTGTTGTCACATGGAATGATTTCAGTGTTTAGGTTTGGGACCACTCCCTTCAGGATTTTCCAGGTTTAACTTATTGTGTACCTTTCTCACTTAAGTTCCAAAGAACAGTTCAAGGGACCTCAAGCGTTCCCAGTAGTTCAGATGATTGACTGAATGTATTCAAACCAGTGAAGTTTCTTTGTAAGTTTTCCAGTTCATCAATCTCACCTGCCTTGAAGGAGGCCATCAGTGTATAGAAGTATTCCAGTCTGAAGAGAACGAGTGACTTGAAGATTATCGTCAATGGCTTAGCATCTCTCCTCTTGAAAGTTCTAGTTATCCAGCTTATCATTTTCCTTGCAGTAGTAATGGCAACATTGCAGTAATCTCTGAATATGAGACCTTCTCACATCATCACTCCTAAGTTTCGCACCTTTTTTTTCTATTGAGCGATACGAGTTTGTCTTTTTTATTCCGTTACAATTTTTATTTCCTCCATTCTTCCGCAGCAGAGTAACTGAAATTTGTCCTCGTTAAACATCATATTTTCACCTGAGGCCCACTGGAGGACATGATTTATATCCACTAAAAGATTTACTGTTTCTTCAATGAATAACGCTCATGGAGATTCTGGTGTCATCATCAAAGAATATTACAGATATTCCAGTACTGTATATTCAAGATTATGTCATAATGGGACAGCAACTGCAAGAGGCAAGAGAGTCCTCCTCTGGACCCACGTTGCCTTGGGTTGTGCAAGTATTGAGAATTCTACATTTGCTTCTTTAAACTCTTTCAAAGATCTGGATTATGTGGAACATCAATGCTATTGGTTCATAGTTTTTGACGATTACTGTTACCTTTGTGGAGTGGGCCTATATCCATAGTTCTTAATAACTGTGGTATGACCCTTGTGTCCAGACTTGATCTCCATAGAATGTCTAAGGCAGGCGAGAGTAATTTTTTGAAATCTTGATGAATGCGGCATTCCACAAATCTGGGCCTGGAGTAATAACCCCCAGCAAATACTCAGTCTCCAGCAAATATTCACTCTACAGCAAACACTCAGCCCCTGGCAGACACAACCCACAAAAAACACTGAGAGGTTAACTTACCTATTAAATTTTTTTCTCTGAGTATGTCGTTAATATCGAGAGTTGCAGAGATGGGTGGGGAGTATTGTGCTTGTGATGCAACATCATGAGTGGGCGGCCCGTACACGCCCAGCAGACCTGTATCCCACTTGACGCCCACGGCCGCCCGCATCCACCCGATCACATCCTCTGCTCGTAGTACAACCTTCTCGGACAGTGACACCACCTCATGCTGTGGACAGTATACCATGTTAATGCAATCTCATCAGGAAGGCCACAAGGCAGACGTGAGAGGATGGAGGCTGGGAGGCCTAAAGTTAGGCAAGGAGATCAGAGGGAGGTAGGGAGACCAGGAGGAACAAGAATGGGGTAATATATTATGAAAATTTCCTTCAAGGAATGTCTGCATGAAGGATGATTTTCATTTTTGTTTGGGGAAACTTTCTCCAGGAAATAGTTATGTCAGTGAATTTTTTTTTTCAGGAAATAGCTGTATCAGAAAAAATTTCTTCAGAAAATGCCTCAGAGAATTTTCTTTTAGGAAAAGGCTATGTCATGGACATTTTCTTTAGAAATGGCTCTCCAGGGAAGAATAGTCTGTCAGGAGCAGTCCGGGAGATCAATCTTGTAGGTCAATCTTATCCACAGGTGGGGGAAATAGTGCTCACCCACAGTCATCCATCCACGGGCTCTCCACCAAGCAGGTGTGTCCGGGCACACAGTCCAGTCAGGAAAGGCAGGTGCCAGCCAGCCCTAGGAGTTGCCAGATGGCAGCCATAATTGCATGAAGTCAGAGAAAATGTATTTATATGATGGCAAATAAACCTACAAATGTCACACAAACATGGTTTGTACTAAACAATAGAATGTAGGCTATATTAACCTGTCAGTAATCTACAAAAAGTTGTCAAATGTCTTTCTATTTTGATAAAAGGTAGAAAAAGAAATTTCCTCGTGTTTTTGGCATTCGAACCGACATTACCATGATCTGGGAATTTTCCACTGCACATAAATAAATATTAACCCTTTGAGGGTTTCGGCCGTACTAGTACGGCTTACGACCCAGGGTTTTTGACATACTAGTACGCCTAAATTCTAGCGCCCTCAAATCTAGTGGGAGAAAGCTGGTAGGCATACATATGAAAGAATGGGTCTATGTGGTCAGTGTGCACAGTATAAACAAAATCCTGCAGCACACAGTGCATAATGAGAAAAAAAAACTTTGACCATGTTTTTGGAATAAAACAGCAACTTAGCACTGTATTTTCGTGTGGTATTTATTGTTGTATTCTAGTTTTCTAGGTCTCATTTTATAGAATGGAAGACATATTACAGAAATTGAGATGATTTTGACTGGTTTTACAATGAAAGTACCTTGAAATTGAGCTCAAAGTAGCAGATATGTTCGATTTTTACCAAAGTTCAAAAGTAAACAAATCATGCCAAGCGTCCAATACACATCAACTGGTGAGTCTAATATTCTTTCACAAGTGTGTTGATATTATTTATACCATTTCTACACTAATGCAGCAGTCTGCATAACAGTAAATCTTCTGTTTTTTGTAAGAATAAAAATTGAAAGTGGAAAGCCAAAGAAATATAAGAGGGGCCTGGGGATGTGACTAACGAACAGAGGAAATGTTATTTTAGTGCCAGGAATGTCTTTCTTGTTTATTCTGGACCCTATTTGGAAATTGGCATCTTTTGAAATTTTTGTGAAATTGGCAAAGTTGCTAAATTCTGACCACTGTATTGGATAGTTGAAATTAGTAAATGGGTGATTTCTTGTACTCATCAATAGAAAAAATGGAGTTCTAGAGAAATAGTTATGATTTTTGTCGGCTAGTACACTGGAATTGGCCGAAAATAGGGCTCAAAGTGGGCAAAATCGCCAATGCATAAACATTGTCGAGACCACTAACTTCGCGAGAGTATAATTCCACAAGTTTTCCATCAAATTTCATACTTTTGGTGTTATTATGATCGGAAAAAGATTCTCTATCTTTTCATAAGAAAAATAATTTTTTTTTTTAAAATCTGGCTGACACTGAGAACAAGTCTCGGAGAGGGCCTGTCGACCCTCGAAGGGTTAAAGCATGTCTATCTGTCACGATTAAATAGTAGTTGCTTATTTCATTAACAAATCCTAGGTGTTTGAGAAACTTTGATAATCAAAAGGTGTTCATGTTACGACATTCTGTGATATTACCACTATGTTACAAAGGCCTTAACCCTTTCAGGGTCCGTCCCGTATATCTATGGCTTTACATTCAGGGTCCAAACCGTAGATCTACGCCATGAGCTCAGCTCACTTTGATAAGCTGTGAGTGGTAAATTTGGGCCTAGATATGAGAGAATACATCTATGTGGTATGTGTGCACCACATAAAACAAATCCTGCAGCACACAGTGTAAAAGAGAAAAAGCTGAGACCGTGAATTTTTATTAAAACAGCGAATTTGCAGTGTTTTTTCGTATGTTTTTTATAGTTGTATTTGCGATTTCTTGGTCTCATTTGATAGAATGGAAGACATATTACAGATATGGTGACGATTTTGATTGGTTTTAGTACTGGAAATGGCTTGAAACTGAGCTCAAAGTAGCGGAAATGTTAAATTTTTGTCGATTTTCAAGAGTAAACAAATGACCTCACACATCTAATACACGCCAGCTGGTGGGTCTAATATACATTCACAAATGTGATGATGATATTTATACAATTATTACAATATTGCATAACAGTAAATCTTCTATTTTTTGGTTTGAATAAAAATTCATTATGTGAATAAAAAATCAAAATGGAATTCATTTGTAAAGCCTGAAAACGTAACTGATGAACAGAGAAAATGTTAGTTTAGTGCCAGGAATGCCTGCATTGCTCATTCTGGACCCTATTTTGAACTTTGCATTAAATTGGCCAAATTACCAATTTCCGATCACTTCATTTTGTAGTTGAAACAGTTGACTTAGCGATTTCTTGTGCTCAATCGATAAAATAGAAGTAATACTAGTGAAATAGCTAATAATTTGGTCGACTGGAATAATGTAATTGGCCTAAAATGGGAGTCAAAGTCGACAAAATCGCCAATGCGTAAATATCGCTGACACATCAAAATTCACGAGAGCATAATTTTGTCAATTTTCCATCAAATTTCGTACTATTTGTTTTATTACCTTCAGAAAAAGATTCTCTACCATTTCATAAGAAAAAATACCAAAATTATTTTTTTGAAAATTCTTGGACACTTTGAAATTTGGCCTCTGGACCCTGAAAGGGGTTAGGGGCATCTGTACAATGTGGACAAAGGTGCAAGCATTTATGGATAAATATCAATTACCAGCTAAGAGCTATTTCAGTTTGGGGAAATAGATGGCAAGTAACATTTGCACCTGAGAAAATGCAAATGATGATCATCTCTAGGCACCATGGTGGTAATGCCGGTGCAGTAGTAAGGATGAATGGGAGGGTGTTGGCACCTGGGGAAGAAGTTGATATCCGTGGGGTGAAATTTGACTCCAAACTGACCATGAAGAACCATGTTATAAATCTTGTAAACAAGGCAGCCAGGAAGCTTACAGCACTTCGCTGTATCTCGCATCTGCTTGACAGTAGGGCTTGCAAGATTCTGTACGAGGCACAAGTACGCTCACACCTTGAGTATGCGACTGCTTGACAGAGTAGAGAACAGAGCAAGACCTCTCATCTCTCACCTAGACCAATCCTAGACAGATCTGTCATTTCAGCAGAGCCTTCAACACAGGAGGGATGTGGGTGGCCTTACTGTTATGTACAAGGCCAATATTGTCAAAGTACCACACTTGGATCCGCTTCAAGGACAGCGTAAAACAAGCTTCTATGCCACAAGGCGGGCAGAAAGCAGCAACTTCACTCTGTCTGTACCCTTCTCCAGAACATCACTCCATCTGAGATCATACATACCCAGGATGACTCGAGTATCAAACACATTCGTACAGCATAATGATGTCAACGAGATCAAGTCAGTTGATCATATGAAAATGCTGGCACACAGATGGCTCCAACTTCATCCTGTTCCCTACCTGTATATCTAATAACAATAAAAATGCTTTCAAATGAGCTGATGTAGGTAACAGCTCTTAGCTTGCCAATAAAGCTAGGGATCCTTAACCTTGTCAAACCCTGTGTAAAAAAAAAAAAAAAAAAAAAAAAAAAATTTACCTTGACACAGCTGTTGCAGGCCATATTGGCAACATGTACAATGACACTATTGTGTCCCATTTTAGGGAAATCTTAAAGAGATGCCAGAAACAGAGCCCTCTGGACAGATTTTTGGTGCTACAGGGGTCCAGTGACTCTCAAGCTGGTCCTAGTGGCATTAAAAAACAAGGAAGGGAGGTAACTCCAGAAAAGGACTTGTTACCTAAAGTCTTTATGGAAGGGATTCTCCTTCCAAACAATTATAAACTCCTCCATCATCTGCCCTCCTCCCATCTCATCACTCGTCAATAAGTCCTCAATACAGGTAAGTGTCATTTCAGTAATGTTTACTCAGCATGTCTCATTGTTTTCTGTGTAGGGAAATGTATATTTCAGGTAAAAAAAATACTTTAATACTTTTGGATATCTGGAACGGATTAACCATTAGACTGTTTTGGCCTTACGAGCCAGTGTTTCGGACGTATATATACTCAATAATTCTAGCAGCTTCAAATCAAGCAGAATAAAGCTGGTAGGCCCACATATGAGAGAATGGGTCTGTGTGGTCAGTGTGCACTGAATAAAAAAAATCCTGCAGCATGCAGTGCATGAGAGAAAAAAACTCCAACCGAGTTTTTGGATTAAAACGCCAACTTTAAGGTGCATTTTCCTATAGTATTTATGGTTGTATTCTCGTTTTCCTGGTCTCATTTGATAGAATGGAAAACATCTTACAGAAGTAGAGAAGATTTTGATTAGTTTCACAATGAAAACAACCTTGAAATTGAGCTCAAAGTAGCGAAAATGTTCGATTTTTACCAACGTTCAAGAGTAAGCAAATCACACCACATGTCCAATACACGTCAACTGGGAAATCTAATATTCTTTCACTAGTACACTGATATTATTTATACCATTTTTACAATAATGCAAGAGTCTGCATAACAGTAAATCTATTTTTTGTGTGAATAAAAAATCAAAATAGAAAGCAAGCGTAATATAAGAGGGGCCTGGAGACGTGACTAATGAACAGAGGATATGTTATTTTAGTGCCAA